AACAGGGCTCTTGTTAACTCTCAGTCATTATTTTACAGTTCCAGTGGCTGGCGAGCCAGTAGAGTCAAACCGCCTGAAAGGATGAAGGAAGTATTTACCAGATGTCTAGAAAGCTCCAGCTATCAATTGTGCCTTTTAATGGATGTTAAGCACGGGGCTTAAGAAATACTGCTACATTTAAAGCCATTTACTTGGGTTCAGAGCATTGCTTTTCTCAAACGTTCACCTACATTAGCAAAATGACCTATCAATTTATTTCCAAGGAACAAGTACAGACTTCTCTTCCTTTAATAATGATCTGCCAAGAAATATTACTGTATCTTTGGCTATAGCAAATATAAACATCACTCAAAAACCTTTTGCCAAATACCGAAGCCTACATGTGAGGAGAAACATCCCCTAAAGGGTAGGACAATGGGATTTGAAACTTGCTGGGCTGTGAGAGAGAGGGGAGGTGGGGCTCTTTGTGGATTTTGTTGATTTCCAATTTCTTAAATGTATTCCACTAGTTGGGGGATTAAAAGGTTTACTGGGGAGTGTCAGTTGTCTAAAGACTGAGGAGAGACTCAATAATCCTGTGAAAGAGAGTTCTGCAACTGGAATGTCGAAAGACTTGGTGCCTCGAAAGTAATTTTGCCCTTTCTTATACTCACTTGGTTCTTTGATAACAATACAGCTGCCTGAGAAGAAATGGCAGGCTTCGGGAGCTTAATTTCCACACTGTTTGCATGACTCTCTCTCTCTCTCTCTCTCTCTCTCTCTCTCTCTTCCTCTCTCTCTCTCTCTTCCTCTCTCTCTCTCTCTCTCTCTCTCTCCCTGTCTCTGTGTCTGCCTGTCTGTCTCTGTCTCTCTGTCTCTGTCTGTCTCTCTCTCTGTATGTGTGTGTGTGTTTGTGTGTGTGCCTCATTGCATTTCTTAGTTTTTGCTTCTGGCACTGGGACCTCCAGTTGTTAGCTGCACCCACATTAAAGACTGTTATCTTGGAGGACTGAGCCCTATATTATTTGGTACCATGCCCCCTACCTTGATGACTTCCATTATTCATTGTTCTCTGGGGCTGCTTTCTCTGACTCTCCAGTAGCTAGCCTCTCCATCTCTCTTTTCATGGTAATGCTGGTGAGATGAATCTGGTCTCTCTATTCATTTGTCAAGTGCTAACTCCCAGCTCTCTAGAATATAACTGCATTGGAAATAGAGTCTTTAGAGGGGCAATTAAATTAAAATGACCTCACCAGGGCGAGTCCTAACTGATTGTGAATGATGTGCTTAGAAGAAGGGGAAATTTGGACAGACATGAAGAGAGAAGAAATATGAAAGTTTTGTGAGAAGCTAACCATCAGAGAGGAGGCTTGGCACAAATTTCTTCCTCCCAGCATGTGAGAATAAACAGTCCTGGAGCACCTGGATCTCAGGCATCCAGTCTTGAGAGTCTGAGAAAGTAAAACTGTATGATTAAGCCACCCAGACTGTGGTACTTTGCCATGGCAGCCCTAGGAAACTAGAATAATGTGGCATTTATTTTTCTACCCCCATTACTTTGGACATATCTGTCTTTATACTTAAACTGAGTTTCTTGTAGACAATGCATAGTTGAGTTAGATTGTGTATCTGGTGTTATACCTGCAAAAATTAGTATATTCTTACAATTCACATATAAACAAGTCATTTAACATCTACCGTGTCCATAAATTTTTCTGTTCTTTGTGCTTTTTCTTTATTTCTTTACACTCCTTCTCCCTTCTGTCTTTTTTGATACATCAATTATCTTTTTTAAAAATTATTTTGTGGTTTCCCTAGAGTATAATATATGTACATATATATACACATAATATATGTATGTATAAATATATATTGCAATTAATCTAACTCCACTTCCAAATAACATATTACCACAGCAAAGATACCTTTTTTCTTTTTACTCTTTTTATTCTTTTTATTTTTGAAGTTTTATAAGTATGTGTGTTTCTTTGTGGATCACATCTGTATCTTGGGTCCATGGAGGCCAAAAGAGGACCTCAGATCCCCTGGAACTGAGGTTGCAGATGGTTGTGAGCTACCACGTGGGTGCTGGGAATCAAACCCAGGTCCTCTGAAAGAGAAACCAGTGCTCTTAACAACTGAGCCATCTCCTTCTGAAAATAGCTTCTAATCGAGTATTCCTCCTCACCCTTGAAATGCTGCATGCTTTATGTATTATGTTATATGCTTCTCCAAAGACTATAATTGTACAATCATTGTTACCGTTATTACTTGGCGCACAAAAAAGATTTTCAGTGACAACAAGACATACTGATTGATGTATTACAGGGCAGAAAGTAATTGTCCAGGGAAGATCACATTTTAAGGTGGAAGAAGGAGCCATATTTAGAAACATTAGGAACACCAGCAAAGAAATAGCCCAGGACTTATGGGTAGAATCTGGACATACAGAGAGGGGGCTACAGTCGGTAGAGCATTCCAGGAAGAAGGTATAATCTATATTGCAGAAAGGACTGATGTACAGAAAACACTGAGAATTTCAATTTCCATAGAATTGAGAGCAATGAATATAAATCTAGAAGGTAGATGGGGTCCTTGAGGAATTTCTCTTCGTTTATGGCTGTGCATCTTTCATGTAACATTAATTGACCACAAAAATAACTAAGATAGCACATTACTCAAGAAGCATTAGAATTGTCTAATTAAACAACTTTTATTATCACTTTAATAATAAGCATTTTGTGCTGGCTGGTGGTGACACATGCCTTTAATCCCAGCACTCAAGAGGTAGAGGCTCAAACTGTGAGTTTGAAGCTAACCTGGTCTACAAAGGGAATTCCAAGACAGCCAGAGCTGTTACACAGAGAAGCCCTGTCTTAAAACAACAACAACAAGAAGCATGTTTGTTATGTTCTAATGAGAAACATAGTAAAAAAGCTGAAGTTGAGCTAGGATGATAAAGTTTGCTTTATTCAATGTCATTAATTCTGACATCATCAAAATCAAAATTACCCTAGGAAGATATTGAAATTGCCCATAAAACTCATGCAGTGTGGTTTTATGCACACAACCTTATGGCATCTACTCAGAGTAAAGGGTTGGGAAAATGTATACTACTTTTTATTTTGTTTCGTTTGAATCTCCTGGGTTCAGTTAGGAACTCAGGAAAACTTTGTCCTGTAGCAGTAGACCTGTCCCTAATAGCTTCATGACTTAGGGCAAGAGCACAAAAAGGGCATATGGCTTCTGTGTGCGTCTTGAAAGATTATACCTGCTAGCCAAACTGTTAGATTAAGTGGTTTTATCTTTCTACATGACACACCTAAGTTAGAGCAAACATCATATAACTACCAAGAAGGCCAAAGTCAATCCTTGGGTGTCATGGCTCCCTATTGCACTAGAGACCTCCTTTCCAGAACTCAACTCTAATTATCTTTAATTCAAAAGGTCTTATTTAACTGATTCTTGGTGTGTGTGACAGCAGAGGGTCTCAGTGAACCTGGAACTCATGATTCAATAAGACCAGCTGGCCAGCCAGCTCATGGGTCCTCCGGTCTGTCTGCGAAGTGTTAGGATTACAAACACATGCCTCAGAGCTTGGCATTTTATGTGGGTCCTAGGTGCCTGGATGCAGGTCTTCAATCTCGCACAGCAGGTTTTTGTTTTGTTTTGTTTTTTTCCCAGTTAAACCCTGTACTTACTTTCTTGTTTAACTGACTCTGACAATTAAAAAAAGAAAGTGTTTACTGTGGTACTGCCTAATGTCTTTATTTTTTCTCCTTAGGATGAAAATTTGATTGATACCCCATTCTTTGAACTAAGGGTACCATAAACACTAGCACCCATATACCCCCAAAGAAAATCTAAATCTCTTAGTAAGTCATGTATTTTATTTTAGAAATTGCTTTCAATGCTTTCTTAAACCCCTAATCCGATGGCCAAAATTCTCCCTCCACTTCCATTCCACCTGCAGACCTTAAAACAGAGTTTGCGCTGGGCGATGGTGGTGCACGCCTTTACTCCCAGCCCCTGGGAGACAAAGGCAGGCGGATCTCTGTGAGTTCAAGGCCAGCCTGATCTACAACAGCTAGTTCCAGGACAGGCTCAAAGCTACAGAGAAACCCTGTCACAAAAAAATAAATAAATAAATAAAGCAAATAAGCAAAAAAAGAACTGAGTTTGCTTACAGTGGATGTGAACATCCTTAAGATTGTTGAAAACTACATCATTAAGGGATCCATTCTAAGCAACGATCTGATATATATATATATTACACACACACACATACATACACATGCACATCCATACATGCACGCGCGCTTGTGCGCGCGCGCGCCACACACCACTGGATTCCTGGGTCCGAGGGAATGACCATTCAGAGAGGAGGGACAGTAACGTGCACACACTTTAAAGCTTGTTCTTGCAGCACCTGGTCCAATTGGAACGACTTGAGAAGAAAATTAGGAGTACTCCTTTGTCACAAACAGGCTGAACTGGAATGAGTCACTTCAAATTTGTGCTTCGCCTCAGAGTCATCAACTATCATTTTAATAAGGACAGACACCCAAAGCATTGCAGCACGCTCTAAACAAAACCATAATTCGTTCCTGCTTCTTAATGTGCCCTTGGCCATTAAGATTCCCCCCCCCCCCACACACACACACCCACCCACTCTTTCACTGAGCTTTGGAGGGCGGGGCCAAGGGGAATGGCACACCTCTCTGAGCTTCAGTTTCCACACCTAAAGAGTTAAGGACACGTGGTCGTCTTCGCCAACAAAATTCAGCGAGCACAAGAAAATGTGCAGAAAAACTGTAATAGGAAGGGGGCTATCCAAATGTAAATCGTTGTAGACACACAGGACACAAGACGACCTCCGAAGCACGCGTGGAACCAACCATTCCTCCAGGGGCTGGGACAGTCCACCCTGCCTCCCCCTCCCGCTGGGACGAGAGGGGGCGGGACCACTCGACCCCGCCCCCAGAGGCGCCCCGCCCCTCTCGCGCCTGCGCAGTGAGTGTCGACGGCCTCGAGCGCCTAGGCGGGAGGTAAGGGGCTGTCGGGCGGCCTCCTCGGGGGCGCTGGGCTGCGGTGTGGCACCGCGGGCCGGGGTGTGGACGCCCGTGAGAGGCGCCAGGCAGCAGGCCCGGCTTCGGGTTGGTGCGAGTGCCGGGCCGCGTCTAGAAGTGACTGAGCCTCCCAGGTTTCAGTTTTGGAGCAGCTGTCGCAGCGGGCGCGGGGAGGACGGGACCCCGCGGTGCCAAGGCCTCCTGGGTCGCTGTGGAGAGATGGTCCCGGCCCTCGGTCTTCTGGTCGCCTGCCCAGCCACTCCGATGGGGGCGTTGGTGTGGCCCGGGTGCGCCCTGGTGACACCGAGGGGGACGACGCGACGCCGGTGCCCAGGCAGGACGCGGAGAGGCCGCAACTGCGGGGTCCGGGCCTGCACCCTAAAGTCAACACCCTGTGCGCCACCCACAAGCCAATGGGGACGCTTTACTTTGAGGGATGGTGTTGTCAACTGTTTGGGACACTATCTAGGAAAGGGGCTTTTTCACTTATAAGTAACTCTGGGGTAATTTACTTCACATCTGAGTACTTTTTCTTCTTCGGGACCCTGAGTAAAATGGTACCCATCTCATCTTAGTTGTGAGTTCCAGGAAATCAAGTTTGTAAAGCACCTGACACCTTTTCACTGCAAGTGTGTGTGCCAGGATTACAGCCCTGGCTTCTAAATGTTCTTCCGTTCACGAAACAGCGATTCTTATACATACACAAACACAAAAACTGTGAAGTAATTTACAATCAGTGATAGTTCACGTAAGTAGCTGGGTGGTGGTGGCCATGCCTTTAATCCCTGCACTTGGGAGGGAAAGGCGTGGCGAGCTCTGGGAGTTCAAGGCCAGCCTGGTCTACAGAACAAGTTCGAGGACAGCCAGGGTTTCACGGAAAAACCCTGACTGGAAAAACAAAACAAAAAAACAGATCGCACAAGTAATACAGAAAACTACAGCATTCCTTGTGTTAGCATTTTACATACCATACAAAGTACAGTCACCGAGATCAAGAGATTAATATTAGAGTTTACTGGGTCTCTTGTGAGTCCACTCTCTAAAGAGTACGTTCTGTGTTCAATGGGACCCAAGACCCAACCTCACTCTTTATAACAGCATCACTTTTTCCAGTCCGCTAAGTGTGGTGGCTTCTATGCTGTGGAAGAGCCAGGAGTTGGTAGTGCCTTTCAAGTAGGAAGTTGGCTCTTGTTTGTTGTGACTAGATTGTTTCGAATTTTTGTTAGGAATACCACAAGGCATCAGTGCTCTTTGCAATTTATGCCACCATGGAGCCTTCACGTGGGATCTGCTGCCTGTGGTGTCAACCTTGATCGCTTAATTAAACTTGGTGTCTGGGGGATTCTCCACAGCAATTACTACTCCAGTGATTCTCCAAGTACTATTGCTTTGGTGCTGTGGTACCCTTCAGTTACCCTCCTTCTTTTGCTGAAATTGTTGTCTAAAGAGGAGCTGTCCGTTCTTCCTTATTTCTTTTTCTGTATTCAGTTCTTTGTGTCAATATAAGCTCCTTTGATTGCTGGGTGGTAGTGGTGCACACCTTTAACCCCAGCACTTGGCAGGCTACAGAGTCGAGTTCCAGGGCAGCCAGAGAAACCCTGTCTTGGAGAAACCAAAACAAAACTGCATTGGTTTTTTTTTATTATGCATTTATTATATCAGATTGTTCTCACTTTGGCCATTGAGAGGTGGTTGTTTTCTGTACCCCTGTGTTTTGCCTGCCCCAGTCCTGGAATCAGCCCCTTCCCCAAGGGCTCCTGATTTCCTTCTCTCTTTTGTTGGTCCTGTCTTTCAGAATGGTATCAGATCCCAACCCCTATGGTCTGGGTGTGCTTATGGCTACTAGGGTGTCATTGCTTTCAGAGTCTTACAAAGGGCCGCAGTACATGCATGTATGCACACCCATGTATGCAAGATCAATGTTTACTTATGTATTTATTTGTGAATAGTTTTTTTTAAAAAAGCAGAGCGGTATCTGTCTTTTCACACCACCGGGTTCATCCTGGTATTGGCTCCTGCTTGTTGTCTAACGGTAAGAACTGACTCATTTTCTGAGAAATGTTTCCTGATTTTTGTTCCGTCCTGGTATGGGCAGACAGTAATTCCGGGATATCTAAAATATATTACTGAGAGGTGTAGTTGGAATTTTCTTTGGGCTGCCAACCAGCTCCCAGATAAAGACATGGAAACTTATTAATTGTGAATGCTCAGTCTTAGTCTAGTTCCACCAGCTCTTTTAACTTAGTTTAACCAGTTTCTATTCATCTGTGTTTGCCCCGGGACTTTTTATCTTTCTTTTATTCTGTATGTCCTACTTTCCTGCTTCCTTCGTGTCTGTCTCTCTGGCCCCTGGTGGTCTCTTTTTCTTCCCGCAGCCTAAATTCCTCCTCCTACTTATTCTCCCTACCCAGAAGTCCTGCCTTTACCTCCTTCCTTGCTATTGGCCATTCAGCTTTTTATTAAACCAGTTAGGTACCTTAGGCAGGCAAGGCAAAATAGCAAAACATCTTTATATAATCAAACAAGTGCAACGTATCTTTCCATAGTTAAACAAATGTTCTGCAACAGAGAGAAGCACACAGTACAACTGTTTTAGTCTTCAGCCTTTCAAGGTCCAGCAAAACAACCATATTCTGGGCTTTGATTGCTCCCCCTCCCCCTGCTTAGTTCTATGGTAATTCAGTCTTATTTTGATATCTTATTTTTCGTTTTATATTTCTCCCACATCTTGGTGTTTTTAAATTTTTAAATCTTTAATACGTACAGCCCTGTGGGTTTTGACAAGTGCAAATAGCTGTATATCACCTCACCATGACAGAATAAATTCTATTACAAATATTTTATACTTTTTAAAACTATTAAAATAATATAACAGCTTCATAGAAGTTTGGGAACTTAGGCATGTTGTTTATTTTTGGACACTTTTTACAGGTGTGAGATCTTTTATATTTTTTTAGTTTAGTGTTTTAATCATGTAACATGTTCCAACTTTATGAGTAAAAAAATACAAAGTGCTGCAAAGTACTTTCAGCCACTATTTAAACACACTTCCACACACATTCTGACATTGAATGTTAACTATTTCATGGTGTGATGCCATGCTAGACAATGTTTGTTACGGTAACAATGGAATGTTATGCTCTCAGATATACTATATAACTATATACTATAATTTTGTAAAAATAGAAAATGATAGAGGAAAATATTTTAAATTTTTGTTAGTAGGAGACTGAACTAGAAAAGTCTCTTGAGGCACTCTTTCCCCCCCACTAATCATACTTAATTGGCTAGAACTTGTAGAAGTGCTTCTGATGAAATGTAAGTTGGAAGAACCTTTTACGGCACATTTGGCAATGTGTATATTTTTAAATTTAAAGTATGTCTGCATAATATTTCTATTTTTAGCTATCTATATTAAGTAATCATGGATGGTAGTATGGATTAATGTATGAGGAAAGTAATCACAATTTGTTTATAATAGTGGAAAATTAGGATCATCTTAAATAGCACACAGTGGATGATTAGATTATGGAACATTCACATTGTAATCCTATGCTACTAAAAGTACATAATAAAATATTTACATGGTAACATTTCCCATATCCTTGATCATGTTATTCAAAATAAATCCAGCATTCATTCATCCATTCAGTCCAATAATAGGGTATTATGTTCATTCTATCCTTTTATTTTCTTTATTGTTAAAGTATGTTTTTTATAATCCTTTGTAGTGTTTTGAAGGGCAGAAGGGTGAATTTAATAAATGTTATTGACCACATTCCATACCAGATGCCTTAACAGACTCTACGGATCCTGAAGTACACAAGAAGAAATGTTTGTGAACATACATGAGAGCAAGCGTGTGTGCGCCTCTCTCTCCCTCCCTCCTTCTGTGCCTTCCTCCCTCCTTCCCTGCCTTCCTCCCTCCCTCTCATTTTAGTAGTTTCTTTTAATGAGGAGTTTGTTAAACTCAGTCTTGCATGTCTGAAAATAATTATTTTGATTCACCATAAATGATAATTTGCCTGGGTATGTCCCAGATCCCTGGTACTTTGAAGACATTCCTATCTTTGATATATTGCTTTGATGAAAAGTTGGCTGCTTTTGTTGTTTTCATTTATCTGTTATCTCTGGTTTGCTTTTTAAGATTTTTTTCTTTGTCCTTGATGCTCTGCAGTTTCCTATCATATGCTTAGGTAAGTTTGTTTTTATTTATACTAGCTGGGCTATGTGCTTTTTCAACTTGAGATCTTCTGCCTTAATTCTCAGAATATTTTCTTTGTATGTTTTCTGTATTCTTTTCTGTTGGTTACTGAGCTTGTGAGGTTTATGTCCTTTGTCTCCTCATATTCTTTATCCTCTGTGTTCTGAGAGCCTGCATTCAGTAGTCCTCTCTCCAGCTGTGCATGGCTTCTTGTTTACCTTTTCAGTCCTTTGTAACGTACTGCTTTTAAAAAAGAAACCCAATCCTTCTTTTATGTCCTTTTGAAAAGTCTGTTTCTTCATTTATGTCTCTGTCTGTTTAGGAACAGACTTGACAATACTTCTCTTTTTTGGTCACTTTCTCAGCTCTAGGCCTTTGCTATTTTCTGTTTGTTTATTAGCTTTTTCTTGAGTCTATTTCTTCTCACACTGTACTTCTCCATATGTCTCTAGTTCCAGTCTGCCATGGGGTTCTGTTTTAACTCTGCTTTCGATACCTGAACATTTATTTTCCTTGGGAGCTTGTATTAAGCATAAGAACCAAGTTCTTAGTCAAGGGTAATGGAAGGCGTTTTTATAGCTGTTGCTTCAAGATTTTCAACCGTGGAAGAAAGGAAAAAACTAGAGTGTGGTTAAAGCAGTTCTTAATGTTAGGGGCATTTGATCTCTTTGAGAATCTGGAAACAATGAATCTTAAAGATTCAGGGTCTCACAGAATCAGTACATGAATGTGTATCTCTGAGGACTGGATTGAGAAGCCATAACCCAACAGGAGTATATATTCAACTTTGTTATTCTTGGGCTATTGGCTAAAGAGGTGGCATCAAAGCATAATAAACTTTGGTAGTGTTCAAGCTTAGCTAAATAGGAGAGCATATCATTTATGTAAAATCTGTTACTAGCTCAAATTTATAAAATTGATATAAGTAAAATTTGTCTAGTAAAGCCAATGTAGGGTTCTGTTTTTTTTTTTTTTTTTTTTTTTTTTTTGGTTTTTCGAGACAGGGTTTCTCTGTGGCTTTGGAGCCTGTCCTGGAACTAGCTCTGTAGACCAGGCTGGTCAATGTAGGGTTCTGGAGCATGCTTACTTCCAGCTCTTACCTCTCCTTTCCTGTCCCCAAAAGCATATGCTGGAACTTTTTATATTGCTGTAGAATCCTGATAAAAAAGGAAAAAAATCTCCATATGTCTGCAAGAATTCGGTTTTTTTAAAAAATTGAAGTACATTTATTTATGTGTTTGTCATTCGCATGCTACGGTGTGCATGTGGAAGTCAAAGGAAGTCAGGACCTGGGGATCACATTTAGCCTGTGTCTTGGTAGCAAGTGCCCTTACCCACTGAGCCATGCCCTGGCCTTATAAATATGCTTCTTATTGGAGTTCTGTTGCTGGTCATTTAGTAGACATTGCTAATCACCTTGTTTAATAAGGAGGAGATAAGGGCCTTCACTGAAAGGAGTTCTGTATTCTGCAGTGTACTTGAAGTATATAATTACACAATTATATTATTATGACACTGGAAGTGAAGTTTGATATAAACAGAAATATCAAGTGAAATTTTTCCTTGCAGTTTTGCTATTTGGCAATTCTTTTAGAAGATAGCTATTCAGTGTCCAAAGCATATCAGGAAGTACTCGTTTTTAGTGGTGTTTACATACTACTTCATATTGCAAAAGACCTCAGGAGACAGCCATCACAATGTAGAGAGTAGGTACTTAAGGTTAAATAGATCATTGATAGTTTTATTCTGTTCATTTTTGTATTTTCTTTAAACTTTTTTTATTGCCTTTTTATTTATTTAGAGAGTATGTGTGTGCATGCACGTGTGCCCGGGTGGGATACAGGTACTATATTAGAGAACTCAGCTCTTTTCCTCTACTCTGTGGCTTCCAGGTATTGAACTCAGATCTTCAGGCTTGGTGGGGTGGGAAGCTCTTTGACCCACTGAGCCATCTCATGGGCCTGCACTTATTCATATTTTCTGAACATCTAGAGAAGCTTGGGATGTGGGGAGGATCAGTGTTTCCAGGCCAGTTCTTGTCCTACCTGTGCTATGAAAATGAAACAGTTTGAAGAGTCCTTTAAAATGACTAGATACTATTTTAATATACATCATTTGATAGAAAAAACCAAGCCATTCAAGTTCAATTTTTGGTTTGATATGTATTTAGAGTAAAGAGTAATTGTATATTTGTTGATTTTTTTTATTTTTAAAAATTTTTGTATGTATGAGTGTTTGCCTGCATGTATGTCTATACACCATGTGTGCGGTGCCAGAGGGGACAGAAAATGGTGTCAGAACTGGAACTGGAGTTCCAGTGGTTGTGAGCCATCATGTGTGTGCTGGGAACCAAACTTGGGCCCTCTGGAAGAGCAGCCAGATGACCCGATGAGCTGTCTCTCCAGCCCCACATTTGTTTATTTCTAAAATAATGGAAGCTGTTGTAAAAAGCATTCTTAAATCTTCCTCTTTAGGTGTTTCTGCATGAGAGAAGAGAGCCGCTACAACTGGACGTGGCTCAACAGGCTTTAGGATGTTCGAAGATGAAGAAAAGGTGAAGTTACGCCGACTTGAGCCAGCTATCCAGAAATTCACTAAGATAGTGATCCCAACAGACCTGGAGAGGTTAAGAAAACACCAGATAAACATTGAGAAGGTGAGCATTTGTTTCCACTGCAGAAGCAGGTACCTGCTTGGATTCTTACTTGCTGTCTCTGAATTCCAGCTGAATAGAGAATCTGAGACTTCTAACCTGCTGATGTAGCAGGATTCCCTTCTCAAGCTGGTCTTCGTGTTCTACAAATGTAATTCTTATATATTCCTTTATTATTTCAAAGAAGGGAGATAGGAGTAGAATTTGTACCTACTCTGCTCCTGAGGTTTTAGGTAGTTAGTCATTAAGTTGGACTGTTTGATAGAGCTCGTGATGTGAAGACAGGAGCTGTGCTCATCTCGTTCATCCCAGGGCACGTGTTTTGAACTCGTGCCTATCAGTAACTCTCTCCTCTTCATGGAAAGATGTAGATGAGTGTGTGATGTGAGGAATTTCCTCTCTTCACTGCTTTTCTTTGAGAAGTACCAACGAGGTGGGCCGGGAGAATAGGCGAGGGTAGATGAGCTGCTCAGAGACCAGCATCGACCCTGCCCTGAAGAGGCTGCGTGTGGGGCTTACAGATACAGCAGCCTCAGGTTTCCTGAGAAGTGAGCCCTAGCTTGGAAAGGTGGGTTGTCTTCTGCTTTAAACACTGAGCTGTATTCTCCTCTACTTCTCTTTTTCAATTTTAGGATTAGGGTAGACGCTGTGGTCATTAAACCTTTCAGTATAAGCTCTATTCATTAAAAATACCAAATGTGTTTTCCCTATCATTTTTTTTTTAGTATTTAAGTGCTTTTTTAAAAACACAGAAACTAATTTCTAAGATGTCTGCAATGGAAATTTCTCTGAGGAATTTTTTAAAAATTCAATATTATATTTTTTTCATCCCTTAATTCCTTTCTTCTTTACATATAAAGCATAGGTTTTAGCTATAGCTTGTAAGGATACAGAAGGAACTGTCTGGTATTCTTAGAATGGAAACATGTGAAGGGATTCCATTTTTGCTTCATGAGATAGAGAAACATATCAAATCTCCCATCTAGAATTGAGCAATCCAAAGTAAACAGTTCTGTTTTTATATTGTTACAGTGTTACAAAATGTATAAAAGATTTGGTAAGGTCTGTTTCAAAGTCCTGAGCCATATCCATTTCTCCATTACAAAGATGATAAGCATTAGGTGGATGAATTGATTCTAAAAGGTAGAAACAAGAGGTTTGTGAGCTATTAAAGCCATGTCCCCCTTTATTGTCCTACTTTACCTTTGAGATTTAACACGTCTTTCTTATTCTGTATGAAAATGCCTGCTGGCATTCCCTTCAATTCTCACTACATGTGTGCGCAACCCTACCAATGGAAAGTGAGAACCCTGCAGCAAGGTGGTGCAAAAGGAATAGGTCCACTACTGATTGAATTAGTTGTACCAGGTGTCAGAAGAGAGTTATCTTGGAGTCAGTGCCATTGATTCTGCTCTGCCTGAACATGTTTCTTTTAGCATTTTTGCTTATTATGAAACCTTCAGACATTCAGATAATTATAATGGATAGACAAATGATAATATCTAAAGCTAAGAAGACAAACTCAAATATATTTGAACACTTCACTGTAGGGTTTCTATTCTAATTATGAAAATACCTCTTTCTGTGTATAGAATTGAATAGCATATTTTGATGGATAGGCTATGTCATGTAAACATATTTAAAAACTGTAGTGCTCTCTCTGTATAGGACAGTTAACTAAATTTAGGCTCCAGGTGTCTTGCAGTGCCTCACTTTCAAAAGGCTTATTCTTGTTAAGGGAAAGGTGTGGAAAGATAAAATATTTATTATTCTGGCCATCAGTCATCCAATATGAATTTAAGAGAAAAAAGCCAGACTGGAGGGAAATTGAAGGGGAGCCTGTAGCAGAGTGATTCTGCAGCAGTGAGAACAATGAGAGCAGTGTGCTGTGGACACCTGGGCCATGCTCCACAGGCCCTTCAGCAGTACACTGTTACACATGATAAGTGTTACTAGCATGTGATCCTGGAGTTTGAGGCCTTAACATTCAGTTTTCTTAGCTAATGCCTCTTAGCTAAAGCACAGTAAATAGCTACAAGATAGCCAACTTGGAACACAATTTTCTTTGTTTCATATTGTTGGGATCTAAGAAGAAACTTACTGTAAGGGATGTACACACAGGATTGAAAACCCCCAAATGGCTTATCAGATAAGGTGGGGTTTGTTTGCCTTGGGTTTGCCTCCATCTCATCTCGTGGTAATGGAAGTCTTCCATTACCTGCAGGCATGCTCCATCCAACCCAGCTTCATTTTCCTCCTAATGATCTTATTAGCCTCTTTCTATTTTGAAGGTGAATTCCTCAGTAAAGAAGGTAGAGGAAGTATGGCCCTGAGTAATTTTGCTTTCTGTCTTACATCTGTTAATGACATGCACCCCATCATTTACCTCCATTCAAGCTTTGTTCTTTGTTCAGATCCCAGCTCTGGTGCTTCCTGTGAAGTGTGCTGATTGATGTCATCACCTTGTATTTAAACACATTATCTTGACACAGCCCTGTGAAGTAGACCTTAACATTTACAGATTTAACATCTTTGTTTTAACCCCAGTCTATCTGTTGGAGTTATTTTATTAGAGGCGATGCTGTAGCAGGGATGAAGTGGGGTTGTGGGGAGCTAAGAGGGGTAAGTATACTGTACATTATGTGACCATCCATCTGACCTAAGAAAAGGAAAGTGAGCAAAGAAGATGACAGGCTCACCACCACTCCAAGTCCAGGCTGCTTGAGTACAGTATCCTCTCTTTGCTCCTGTTAGGCCTGGAGTCCAGGCTCCAGGTTCTCTAGTTGGCCCCTGCAGAGAGGATTACCTTCTGTGATCATGGGGCAGGGCAGTGATGTGGTAACTGTGTATGGCTTATGTAAGCCTCCCACTAAACCTGCTTTTTTTTCTACCACACTTTTTAACTGGTCACCTGCACCTAGTATTTCTGGATGTCCAGCCTTCCTGGAGGACAGTCGCCTGTGACCTCCGTCCGTGTATCTCTCTCCTCCAGCCACCTCTACAAGCTCAGATTGTTGCTCTCTGTGCTCTGCTGTATCCGCTACAGTGTGTCTATATTCTTTCCAGCTTCTGAAGTTTTGCTGGAAGCTTTTGTCTGTTGGTGTCTTCTATTGTGTTCTTATTGCTCTTGTGAATTTTCACCTCTTAACATTCTTTATTGTCCTTTCATGGGATTTTGGAAAAGAACAGAAGTGAATATTTGTATTCAATCTACCAGGTTTAATGAGAAACGAGATTATTTATTACAGGAAATAAATATTAGCTTTCCGTAAGTATATATGGGTCTTTAGTATTGGCTGTTTCTTAGATTTCTAGCCTTGAATGATATGCAAAAATAGATTTTCAATTCTCAAGAAGTTTGCAGTTTAGTTAAGGAAACAAGATAGAAAAATAATCCAAGAGGCCGGGCGGTGGTGGCGCATGCCTTTAATCCCAGCACTCGGGAGGCAGAGGTAGGCGGATCTCTGTGAGTTTGAGACCGGCCTGGTCTACAAGAGCTAGTTCCAGGACAGGCTCCAAAACCACAGAGAAACCCTGTCTTGAAAAACCAAATAATAATAATAATAATAATAATCCAAGAATGATGAGAGGTAGCTTGTGAATAGTGTGAAATGGGCGGCATGAACTAGACAGCAGCTTGAACCCAGCAGTACCAAATGAAAGAAGACAACTGACTTAGTATGTATTTGTTCATATTTATTTGTTTGTTAATTTGTAATTACAGTATAACCCTCCTCTCCATCCTGTGACTGTTTCCTTTACCAAACTCAGGTGATGGTAAATAGTACTGGGTGTGATGAATGTGGTAATTCAGCTCTTGTCCATGTTTGGTTATCAGGGAGCTATAGGCACATCTTGCAGTTCTGGCCAGTAAGTCTTGACAAAATCTTGGTAGGAATTTGGAAACCTCCAGAAATATTTTCCTACTTTAAAAGAGATACACATGTAGGGAAACAGTCCTCTCTCTTCTAGTGGTCTGGTTATGTCTTCCTGTTGTATTGGAAGTATAGCCAGCCCTACTGCACTAGGAGACAAATCTGAGGGCCTTTTTGAAAGTGCAGAAGGTGGAGCCTGGCACTTGATGTCCTTGTAAGTGCCTGTATTGAACCACCCTGGGATGATTGCCACACTCCTGGCTACTTTCTGTGTGACGTAGGGAGTGTGTTTCTTGTTGGAGCCACTTTAAAGTTTGTGTTTTTGTATTTAGTGACCCAAAGCATAATGCCGAGGTTCTTCCTTAATCCACTTGCCTGTCCTGCTGTGCGGTTAGACAAAGACCATCTTGCGCAAAACCAGCCACTTAGAGATGGTAGCCAGCAGCCCAAACTTAGCTACAAGTTTAAAGGTTGCTTCTATAGGGGTTTTCACACATATTAGTATATCACTCTGCTCCCCCTTCCCACATCAAATATTTGGGATAATAGTTTTCACAGTATATCCTAATTTCACGTAAAATTGAATAGTAAGCAGTAGCAAACTGAATTATTTTATTCTTTATTTTCTTATAACTCACTATAATAAGAGATAATGCATTGAGACAGCAATCTCTTCTATAGTCTCTTTGATAAGTGAGCAAGTAAAGACGGCAGTAGAAAAGGCTGCTGCTTTCCTTTATTGAGAGTTCTGTTACAAGTTTTCTTGTCATATAGCACTTAGTCCTATAGTAGCTTTACAGGTCAAGTATTGTTGTTTGTTTTGTTTTTAGTTTTTTTCACATTTATTTCTTTATGTGTATGTGTGTGGACATACTTCCACACTGTAGATGTGGAGGTCAGAGGACAACCTTTGAAGTCAGTTCTCTTCCTTCTATGTTGTGGCTCCTAGAAGTTAAATTCAGGTCTTGAGCTTAGGGACAAGCACCTTTGTCTGCTCAGCCATCTACTAGCTGAGACTGCAAGCATGCATCTTACCATCTGCTGCCATTCAAGCTTTGTATTTTGTTAGCTCCTAGCTCAAGTTCCTATGGAGGGTGCTCTTATTGATGCCATCGCCTCAGACTTAAAGACTTCACTATGCGGGAGCCTTAACCTTTACAGACTTAGCTTCCATGCTCTACTATTTGAAACAAAGTGTTTCCAGTTATGATGGTGAAATTATAACTGCATACGATCATTGTAAAGAGTAAGATATTATATGATGAGACTGGAGAGATCGCTCAATAAATAAAGTGCTTGCCAAACAAGTATGAGGACCAGAATTTGGGTCCCCAACACCCACATAAAAGTTAAGCAGGTATGGCGGTCTGCTTGTAATCTCTAAACTTGAGGAGGCAAAGATGGGATTTCCAGGAGTTTTAGTTGGGGTTTCTGTTGCTGTGATAACGATCATGACCTAAAGCAAGGGAGAGGAGAGGGCTTACTTTAGCCTGTGTTTGTGGGTCACAGTCCATCACTGAGGAAGTCAGAACAGGAACTCAAGCAGAGGCCATGGAAGAGTGCTGCTTGCCAGCAGACTTACCTGCTTTTTTTTTTTTTTTATGATGCCCAGGACCACCAGGCCAGAGCAAGCCTCACCTACAATGGGCTGGCTCTCCCATATCAATCACTAATTATGGAAATGTTCTATAGGCTTGCCTCCAGTCTGAGCTTATAATCAAATGAAGGGATTTTTTTTTCATTTGCTATCCCCTCCTGTCAGATGACTCCAGCTGTGTCACACTGACATAAAAACTAGCCAGCACACCAGGGCAAGCCGACTATTTAGACTAGTTAAGTCAACACCTCCAGGTTAAGCTCGAGACCCTGACTTAGTAAATACAGTGGAGAATAACTGAGGTAGACATACAAACCACCACAATGACTTATGTTAATATCTTGCCTCTACACACTCGTGAACACACATACACACCTCCTGACATGTACAGTCATACAAAGGTAAGCACATATGCACGACTCACATACAAGTATATGGAAAAATATATGCACTAGGTATTTACTCAAAAGTGGAGTATGTAATTAGTGAGCTGCCTGTCAGTAATTTCTAATATATTAGATTCAGAACATTCCTGTTGCCCTTCATGTTTGTTCCTGTTTTGTATTTTTAATATTTGGTAGTCAAGGTGAGGCAGTTACTCTTATCTGTACTTTGGAGTAGATATTATCTTCAATATGTAAGTAATCCTCACTTTATGACCCTTAGCCACTGGTCCATCTGCCAATGCTGTGTAGCTTTTCTGTAGATTGTTTAGTATTTTCTGTGTAGTTAGTCATGGCACCTATGAAGGGAGCTTCTTTTCTGATTTTCCTCCATGTTCCCCCTCTCCATCACTTCCTCCATATCTCTTCCTGTCTTTTTTCATCCCTCCCTTCATTCCTTCTTTTGTCTTTGTTCTGCCCTATAGTGCTGACTAGAGTCTCCAGTGTCTTACTGACTGCCACTGGGAAGATGGTATTTTCATCTTTTTTCCCATCTTAGAGAAGGGTCCTTCTCCACTAAGTATGATGTAATCTGTATGGCTTACTTCTTAGCACCTGCCTCATGATTCAGAATATACACACTTATAGTGTGTGTGTGCAGTCACATTGCCATGTTGGCATGTGAAAGTTGGAGGACAACCTGCAGGAGTTGGTCCTGGAGATGGAACTCAGGTAGTTAGACTTAGCACCCATTTGCTGAACCATCTTGCTAGCCTAAGAGTTCAGAAATAATTAAAAAGTTGATATTTATCTGTGCATTTACCATTTGTCTATACTTCCCGTTGCTTTGTGGAGAATGAGTTATGTCAGGTACCATCAGAATTTCTCATAATGTCTTGTGATAGGTTCAGCTGCTGCGCATGTGTCTACGCTTCTCCTTCACTTCCCTGGGTGGTGGTTGTTGAGCTGTGTCTCTTCTCTGTGGCTTGCATGTTGTTCCATTGGCTCTGACTTGTCTTGTTCATCAGGGACTTCTGTCATTCTTGTCCTTGTCCCTCTGCACTTCAAGCATATTTTTCTTTCTGCCTGCTTTTTAAATTTTTTATCTTAGTTTTAATTAGTTAACATCATTCTACTAACAAATAACTAAAATTCTTCATACATATTAAGGATGCATGAGAAGGAGTCCTGTCCATCTTCCAGTTTCGTCTATATCCTCATTCTCTGTATTTCCCTTCCCCAGAGAATCTGTACATAGACAAAACCTTTATTTTGTTTTTTTTTTAAAGTAATTTGATCTGATAGTATTTTGTGTTAGTGTTTACTATTAGTTCTCAATTTAAAAAATGTAATATTAAAAGCCTTCAGAAAGATAATTATCATTACAAAAATTATGGTTTTCCCTGCCTCTTATGTTTGAGTAGATGAGTAAGGACTTTGTGGTAACTGGACATGGTCTCATGATGTAAAACTCAGCACTCACTTTCCCTATTTTTTGTTTTTTGTTGAATAGTATCAGCGGTGCAGAATTTGGGACAAATTGCATGAAGAACACATCAATGCAGGGCGCACTGTTCAGGTAAGGCTGCTGTGTATGGCAAATCTATAAAAAAGACAGTCTTGGGGAAATGAGCCTTTGTCTAAAATACACATTTCAAGATGTCTGAGACGAAGCAAGCATAGACAAAGTCTGTTTCCGTTCCACACGCTCCTGAGGCCATGGCAGGATTTTTAGTGCACCCATGTTTGATTCCATCTCATGAGGTCAGCTGTGGCATCACACTGGCTGGAAAGTGGCAGGTTTCGGGATGTTTAGGACTTGTGGGTTTTGAGGTAGGGGTGTTGAGCTTACTCCTTCCCAGCTGACCCATTTTTGTGTATTTCTTGCTGTTTTACCAGGAACTGCTGAGTCACCTTTCATGTTACCTAATTTTCCTTCAGGAATAACAAATTAACTTATATTTTCACAATCAATGCATTTCCTAAAAACCTTACAAAATTCACAGTATTTCCCAAGGTTGTATTAATTAATTGGTTGGTTAACATAATGCTACTTACAGTTTTAAACTTTTTAAAAAAAAATTGCTTTGAAGGGTAAAAGTTTTTTAAATATCCCTTGAGCAAACATTTCTTAATTGTGTGTGTTCTTCATATAGGTTATGCAGCTGTGCTTGTAAGATAACAGCAGCTATAATTTGAGAGTTCCAGAATTCTATCTATGAAATATATTATCCATATTTAGTTATTTACTTTAAAAAAATAAGTTCTAATTATTTTAAACTAGCTTTGGAAATAGTGTTATATTCAGGGTCTGTGAGGTGGTTCATCAGGTAAGAGGCACTGGCCACCGAGCCTGAGAGCCCAGGTTCCATCTCCAGGACCCAAGGTGGAAGGAGAGAGCTGACTCCAGCTGGTTGTCCTGTGACCTGCACGCATGTGCTCTGGCACTCAGGCACACCCACACTAAATAAGTCCATAATTCTTTAAGAGCAGTACAGTAGAGGCAGAATCCTACGGTTCTCTATCTTATCCACTGTGAGGCCTTTGGCTCCCTTCCCGTGTTTCCTCATTATTACTGACGACCTCAAGTAGCTGTGTGGTTTTGACGCCATCTCTTCACCCCTGCCGTGTGGGTGGAGCCCTAGCTTTCCACTTTGTTCTCCTGCCTCCCTTCTCCTGTATAATTGCATATTGCAGTCCTTGGTTCAGTTAGTACTCAGCACCTCATTATTTTGATTATAAGGACATTATTTTCTGCCAAATCAAATAGTGAAATACAGTCCAGACCTTTACTTTTTTTTTGAAGTTAATAACAACCTTATTTTTAATTACCTGGCTTTCTGTCTGTGTATTTTTGAGTTCTGTTAAGATGTTCCACATTAAAAAGAAATTTAAAAAAGATGTTCCACATGTCTTATCATATTGCTGTCAATGATATTTTCATGAGTTTAGATCTATCTGTCCCGTTCTTTATTTTGGAAGTTCTCTCTCTAAGCCCTTCATCGCTCAGTTCCAGTGTGGACTCTGTCTGATGCATAACTACTGCCCTGAACCTTCCCTGTGTCTATGCAGGAACTCTGAGTTTTCATGGATCTTTAGTTTCCCTCCACTGTTGTGTTGGTTAGCACACAGAGGTAAAGGGTTAAGTAGCTGTGTGTCTACAGCCCTCACTGTAGTTACACCAGGTGTAGAATTCCCGTTGGAACTGACTTTCAAGCATGAATGCTTTCCAGCTCTTTGTGTGATTTTTTTTCAAAATCTGAATCACCTGATTCCCCAGTCTTTGCAATGGACTTTTTCCTCCTTGGGGCCTTTTGTGCTCCTTTTATCCCTAGTACTCTGAACTTTTAATGTGTTTTGTGTTGTATCTTATCATTTCCATCTCAAAATTAATTTTCTTTAGTTCTGTGAAATTTTATTTATTTATTTATTTGCTTCTTTATTTGTATTTTGAAACAGGATCTCACTTGGGCACAGGTTGGCCAAGAACTCACTTTGTAGCCCTGGGTGTCCTCAAACTTATGGCATCTTCTTGACAGCCCCCAAGCGCAGGGGCTGTAGGTGTGAGCTACCACACCTAGCCTTAATTCATTCTCATAGTCTCTGTCCTCTCTCTTGAATATTTGAAGATATTTTGTCGTGGGACCTGAGGAGATGGCTCAGTAGGTAAAGTGACCACTGGGCAAGTATGAAAACCTGAGTTCAGATCCCCAGCACATGTTAAATGTGTAAAAGGTCAGTCAGGTGTGGCATGCATCTTGACCTTAGTGAAGACAGGCAGATCCTTGGAACCTGCTGTCTAGCCACTTTAGACACTCAGTGAGCTTGGTACCCTGTCTCAGAAAATAAGGAAGAGAAGAATAGAGGAAGACACCCAACAGATGCTGACCTCTGCCCCACACAAAGGGTCACACGTACTCAACATGTACAAATGTGTGCACACACTATTGTAACTCCCAGGCTGCCCTGGCCTGACAGCTGGCTGTTTGTTTGTTGACTATTTTTACATTTCAAATGCAGAGCTGAATAGTTGCTACAGAGACTATATCGCCGCAGAGTCTAAGTTGTGCACTACCTGGCCCTACAAAAAGGGTTGCCGGTCTTTGTTTCACTGAATGTGGGAACTCAGATTGCATGGCGCAGTGGTTAAAAACGAGCCTGGGAACCTGGGTTCAGTTCCCAGAACCCATATAAAAAGCTAGACACCATAGTGCATGTCCATGGTTCCAGCATTCCTACAGCAAAATGGAAAGCAAAGACAGGCAAGTCCTCTAGAAGATTTTAGGCTCACTAGTCGGAATAACTCAGTGTATCAGTGAACAAGAGAGACCTTGCAAAACAGTGAAAGGCAAAAACGAACACCAGAGGTTGTTCTTTACCTCACACTCAAGCACATTTGACACACATAAGACAAACACATAGGCACAAATGGATATATATAAATAGAGATATATAAACATATATTTAAATTAGAATAGCTGCAATATAGTGAAAATTGAGATTGTATGGAGTGAATGCAAGATGTCCCTAGAAAAGATTCCAGAAGTGCAAGGAATAGACAGTAGCTTCAAATAAGATGGAGAAAAGCATATTGGTTTGAGATTGAGATGGAAATACAACTTGTCTCTATGTTATACTAGATGGTAACTAGATTACAGGCCTAAGGAAGAGGTGGCACTCGACTCTTCCCAGATCCCACATGCCATCAAGATTTAGTGTGGGTCCAGTGGTCCTGAGCACGCTAATGCTAATGAGATTATTATGACTAGTGTTTCTTACCGTCTTGACTGTTTAATGTTTTACTAACAATCATATGATTTGTTTGATATATTGACTGTATCAGAGAATTTGTGTACTGATTTTTAAAACCATGTTGACATTATTGGCCTCCATCTGGTATAAGAGATTTATGGGTGCCATTGAAGTAATGAGATCAAACTTGTTAGATTCTGGTGTTTGCTTACTGTATTCATCTCTGCTCTGGACTTAGCGTATAGGCTTGTTCATGGCTAGTTTGTGATTTAAAAACTGTTTTTTTTTTTAGAAACAAGTTACAGGTTTTCCAGGTTTTTCTGAATTAGGCTTCTGTAAAACCCACCTTCTCAATTTGACTTGTCTTTTAAGACAAAGGACTTCTCATGTGATCTAATTTTTCAACCTTTTCTTTTATGTTTTATGCTTTTGGTATCATGTACAAGTAACTTTCTCCATACTCATAAACAAGATTTTGTTTCAAACTACTTCATTAATTTTGTTTTTGAGACAAAATGTTATGTAGCTCAGGTTGGCCATAAACCAACTATAGCTTTGAGGATGGCCCCAAACTCTTAACCATCCTAGTCTGTCTCCTGAGCCCTAGTAATAATAATACACACCACTGTACAGGGTACTAATTCATTTGGTCTTAGATACTTTATAGCGTGTGTGTGTGTGTGTGTGTGTGTGTGTGTGTGTGTGTTGACTTTCTTTTAATTTTTGGTTAATGTACAAATATAGTTAGTTTTCAAAATAGATTTTTATAGCCAATTACTTTTAAAGTCTTATTATTTCTAATGATTTTTTGTAATGCCTTTGGATTTTCTTTCCTGGTTCAACTTTTTGAGACTCATTTTTTTTTTGTCTTATAGTATAACCATATTTTCAGATTCCTATTTTATTTTGATTACTTGCATTTTTTTAAAATCTGACTTACCACTTGAAAAAAGAGTTGCTTAAAAATAAGCTTGTTCAGCCTGGTGGTGGTGGCGGCGCACACCTTTACTCCCAGCACTTGAAGGTAGCAGAGGCAGGTGGATCTCTGAGTTCGAGGCCAACCTAATCTACAGAGCAAGTTTCAGGATAGTCAGGGCCTCACAGAGAAACCTGACTTGAAAAAGTCAAGAGTCAGAGGGCAGGGGCGAGGGGGGACTCACGCCTTTAATCTTAGAACTCAGGAGACAGAGGCAAGTTGATCTCTTGAGTTCGAAGCCAGACTGCTCTACAGAGCGAGTTCCAAAACAGACTCCAAAGCTACAGAGAAACCCTATCTTGAAAAAAATAAAAACAAAACAAAAAAGGAAGAAGCCAAAAGGAAAAAAATACAAAAAGGTTGTTTAAATATATCTTTTTAAAATTGCAACTTAATGCCAGAGAAATGGCTCAGTGAGCAAAAGCATTTGCTACCAAGCCTGATGACCTTAGTGACACTTGTACCCTTCATGGCTGAAAGGGAGAACCAGCTGCCAGAACTGGTTGTTCTCTGACTGTATATGTGCATATGCATGTGTACTCATACATACACACTTAAAATACAAAAATAATTTAAACACTATATAAAACACAACAACTCCTGTAAAATAATTCTTTTATTTAATTTTTTTAATACAGTATTTTGACCATATTGCTTCCCTTTCCTCAACTATTTCCCAGATCTTCTCACCTCTCTACCAACTAGACTTTATATTTTCTCTCTCAAAAAATTCCAGTAAGAGAAAAACGAAGAAAATGAAACTAAATAAAAGACACACAGAAAACATGGAGTCAATTTTGTGTTAGACAGTAACTTCTGGTCATGGGGCCTGCCCTGGGCAGTGGTTGATA